CTAAGGGCTCAAAAGAATAAAATAGAAACAAATAGAACAATACAAAGAATTAATGAAACAAATATCTGGTTCCTTGGAAAAGTAAAAAAAAATAGACAAACCATTATCCACACTAACTAAAAGACAGAGAAGAAATATCCAAATTAACAAAATCAGAAACTAAAAAGGTGATATAACAAAAGACACTGAGAAATTCCAGAGAATCAATGGTCATAATTTTAAAATAAACTGTACTCCACTTAATAAGAAAATCAAAAAGAGTATTTTTGAGATATGTACCACTTAAAAAAACTTAAATGAAGACAAGGTAAGGAATTTAAACAGACTTATAACCCTTAGGGAAATAGAAAAACTAGCTAAATTTTTTTCTATCAAAAACTGCCCAGAGCCAGATGGTTTTAGCTTAAACTTCTGCTAGACATTCAAAAATGAGTTAAGGCCAATAATCCTCAAATTATTCCACAAAATCAAAACATAAGGAACATTGCCCAATTCAGTTTCTGAGGCTACAGCTACCCTGACATTCAAACCATATAAAGATCCTACCAAGAAAGAGAATTACAGCCCAATTTCTCTTATGAACATAGATGAAAAATACCCAATAAAAAACTAGCAAAACAAATTCAAGAACACATCAAAAGATCATATATCATGATCAAGTAAGCTTCAGGCAAGAGATGTGGGAATGCTTCAGTATGAGAAAATCAATAAATAAAACACACCATATAAACAAAGTGGAAGAAGAAAACACACACCATTAGGTGCAAAAAACAAACAACAAACAAACAAAACCCCCCAAAAAACCTGCCTTTGACAAAAATCCAACACTACTTCATTATAAAAGTCCTGGAAAGATAAGGGAAAACAAGAGAAATGCCTAAACATAATGAAGGCAATTTACAGAAAGCTTATACCCAACATCAAATTAAATGGAAAGAATATCAAAGCAATTCTACTAATATCAGGAACAGGACAAGGTTGATCAGTCTCTCCATATCTATTCATTGTAGTGTTTAAAGATATAGCTACAGTAATAAGACAACTTACGGAAATCAAGGGAATACAAACCCAAAGTATTCTTGTTTGCAGATGTTATGATAGTATATATAAGTGACCTTAAAAATTCCAACATAGAAACTTTACAGCTGATAAACACTTTCAGCAAAGTATCTAGATAATAAAATTAACTCATGAAAATCAGTAACCCTCCTATATACAATAAAAAACAAACCAAGAAAGACATCAGAAAAAGAACACCTTTCACAATAGGCTCAAATATTTTGGGGTAACTCTAACCAAGAATGTTCAAGATCTGGATGATAAAATATTCAAGTCTTTGAAGAAAGAAATTAAAGAAGATATCATAATATGGAAAGATATTCCATGTTCTTGGATTCCTAGGATTAACATAGTAAAAAATGTCCATCCTATTAAGAGAAATCTACAGATTTTAATGCAGTCTCCATGAAGATTCCAACACAATTCTTTACACACTTTGAAAGGACAATTGTCAACTTATTATGGGAAAACAAAAAAGCCAAGATAACTAAAAGAATCCTGAATAATAAAAACTGCTGGGGGTATTACCATTCCTGATTTCAAGTTCAACTCCAGAGCTATAGTAATAAAATCAGCATATTGTTACCATAAAAACCTGTTGATCAACGAATGGAATAGAAATGAAGACATAAACACAGACATAAATCCACATACTTGTGGACACCTGATTTTAAACAAAGAAGTCAAAATTATACAATGGAAAAAAGAAAAGCATCTTCAGCAAATGTGCTGGTCTCTCTGGATGTCTGCATATAGAGGAATGTTAATAGATCCATACTTTTCACTGAGCATCAAAACAGAAATCCAAGTGGATCAAAGACCTCAATATAAAACCAGATACACTGAACCTAATAGAAGAGGAAGTGAGGAATTTGCTTGACTGCATTGGCATAGGAGACAACTTTCTGAATAGAACACCAATAAGACAAGTACTAAGATAAACAATAAATAGGACCTCAGGAAACTTAGAGGCTTCTTCACAGCCAAGAACACTATCAGACAAAGAGTCAGTCTACAGAATGGGAAAGAGTTTTGCCAACTCCACATCTGATAGATAACTAATATCCAAAATATATAAAATACTAAAGAAACTAGATTTAAAAAAACAAATAATCCAATTAAATGAAGGGGTACAGATCTAAACAGAGAATTCTCAATAGAGGAACTTCAAGTGGCTGGGAAACACTTAAAGAAATGCTCAGTATTGTTAGCTATCAGGAAAATGCAAATTAAAACTACTTTGAGATTCCATCATACACCTTTCACAATGGCTAAAATCAATAATACAAGTGACAGCTCATGCTGGTGAATATGTGAAGCAAAGGGAACACTCCTCTATTGCTGGTGGGAATATAAACTTGTACAGCCATTACAGAAATAAATATGGCTGTTACTCAGAAAGTTGGGAATCAGTCTACCTCAATATCCAGCTACATCACTCTTGGGTATATATCCAAAGGTTGCTTTGCTCAGCCATGTTCATTAATGATACCCAGAAAGTGGAAACAATACAAATGTCTCTCAACAGAAAAATTAATAAGAAAATGTGGTACATTTACACAATGGGGTATCACTCAGCTTTTTAAATGACATTATGAAATTTTCAGGCAAATTCACAGATCTAGAAAAAAATCATTTTTCTAGATTCTAGATCTGAGTGAGGTAACACAGACCCATAAGATAAATATGGTATGTATTAGGACAATAGCCACACAACTCACTGAACATGGAATAGTTGAGTCTACATGGAGCCTTTGCCCCTAAGTTATATTTTCTTTGGTGCAGGAAAAGGAGAAATGTGAACACCCACCAAGCCACAAAATCTTTGCCCCACAAGTAGCCAATCAATGTCTGATTTTATCTATGACTCACTTCACAAGAAAGAACTGATACCCAATACGGCTTAGGTAAACTGGAACAACAGACTAGACAGCCAAAAGTTGTGAAAACAAATATAACTGCTAGAAATAAAAATTTTAAAAAACCAGCAAAATGATTCCTATTGATACTCTGCTATACTCATAGATCATTTCCTTTTCCAGTCATTATCAGTGAGGCTTTCTCAGGCAACAGATGAGAACAGAAGAGATGCAGAGACCCACAGAAAGACATTATGCAGTGTGAAACCAGTTATGTCCACAGTGAAACACGGGTAGTCCCTTCTGTTGTCACTCATCCTCACTTAAGATGGATTACTGGTGTCCAGACAACACTGCTGTTAGGTGAATTAGTTAAACATGAAATATATTGGGCATGTGATAAGATGTATTTATTTATCTCTATGCAAACACTGCACCATTTTCAAAGCAGACTCAGAGCATCCAAAAGGTTGGGGATCCCTGAAATTAGTTCTCAGGGATTCTGTGGTTTGGCTATATATTTTAAACACAACATAAGCTTTTAATGCTTCTGCATTTCTGTTTACTATATTGATGTCTTTATTTTCCTTTAGAGACATAATCTCACTTGAAATCCTGACCTGCCCTTGTAGACATGTGTATCCTAGGAGTACAGGCATGAGTCACCATGCTTACTGTACCTGAATGGTAACTGACACTTTTTACCACATACTTTTTCTCCTTGTTGTGCCCCATTGATAAACAATTACCCCCATTCTGTTGTAGTATGAGAGGAGAGGTCACTTATTCATCACGGCTAGGCTAACTGGGAGACTGGTTTTCGTACTGACTGGGTTAGAGACCTGACACTTATACTCTCCAACATCCTCCCTCATAATGGGATCTATGCTGAGTTGGCACTTTGTTGGGGACAGAGTCATCCTCTCTGTGAGCTGCAGACTTTGGTTATTGAAGATCCAACGGAAGGAGATTCCAGTGCCGGCTGAGAGGCAGGTGAGGACCACAGAGCTATGTAATGTAAGTATGGTGTTGGTGACTTGAATGAAGGGATGTTTCACAGGCTCTGCAAAGAAACAGAGGAGTAGACCAAATGATAGTAGTCCTTCAGAGAGCTCAACTATCTTCTCTATAGTTCACACTTACTAAAACCTCCAGGGTAGATAAGTTAGAGCTGTGACTATAGACATGTCTTGTACCCTGGATCTGTCACCCATGGCCTCTGTGACCTTGATTAAGCCACTGAATTTTCTGTGTCTCAATTTCCCTACAATGGGACACATTGTAAATGATCACTACTGTGTCTGTGAGCTAAGCATAGTTATGAGCAATGCCATGACCTTGGGATGCAGGAGCTGCTCAAATCAGCAGCATCTCTAACTATTTGCCTGCAGAAGAGAATTCCCTAGGCTGTGTCCATGACAATGTCTGAAGTAGCTGCTTCCTCTCTTTCTGCCATGGGGACACTGACCTTCCTTTAAGTCTTCTAAGCCCAGTAAGATAACAGGCTATGACACCTGTCTACTGAGAATCAGGGGAAGGAGTTGCACAGGTGACCTAACTGAAGCTCTCTTGGCAGTGAACAGCTGGTTCCGCAATCTATGGAACTTGGACAGCCAGTAAAACCTTGTTTCCTGTAAACTCTAACAGGAAATCAAAGCCAATAAGTCACAAAAATTTCCAGTGTCATCTGGATAGAGGTGATGGATAGGGATAAAGTTTGGGGCCAAGGCTTCCTAGTGCTCTCTGTTAGGACCCCATAGCTTCCTCAGCCAGTGCCTGCCTGAAAACCAAAGAGTCTTTCTTGGCACTGTGTGCATAGTGAGAGCCACAAGAGTCCGAACTGTGACTGACATCCTTGTGCTGAGTTATCGAAACATGATACTTTCTGCAGGTGGAGACTGGTGATGGCTTCTGATATATTGCAGTTTGTCTATCCACATGAATGTCACACAATAACAGCCCAAACCTCAGTTTGAGGACACAATGCAGTGCGGTAGCAAACAAGCATAAACCAATCCTGACAGATCAGTGTATGAAGTAGGATAAACCACACCCAGCAGTGGAGACCATAGAGTCACTTACTGTTCACATGGAGATGCACATCTGCTTTATCGATTTTGAAATCTCTATTTAAAATTTCTAGTGTGTACATTCCTGCATCTTCCTCAGTGACATCCTGGAGCATCAGGGACCCATTGGTGTACACCGCCTCTCTTCTGCTGTGTGCACTCCCCCAGGTGGTGGAATTCATGGCTCTGCTGTATTCCACAATTTTAAGAACAAGGGCACTATGCATTGATTTATACCAGGAAAAGGCTTGCAGATCTTCTGGAAGATTATGTACTTGGAGAAGAACACTTTCCCCTTCAGCAGCATACTGAGGTATAGGTTGGATCATGAGTTGGGAAGAGTTGAGAGGGTTACAGCATGGAGAAAGGGAGGCTGAAAGAGAAAATAGAAAAAAAACCCATCACATGGAGATCATCGGGCTGGGTGAAAAGACAGTGACCTCCATCTTGACTAGATGGACTCATCACTCAGCCTAGAGTTGCAGGTGTATGTGTGTCTATCCCACTTAATGAAGGGCAGAAACATGACCTCCTCCTTTCCAAAAGTGTCCTTGATAGTGTCATGTCCTTTGCATGGAATTGACTCCTCAGGTGTCTACATGGCTGCTTTCTTAGTCAGACACTGTGTGCACACATGCACACTGGGTTTTGAGAGGATGCCTCCCCTGAACTCAACAGGCCCAGGATGCTCACTTTCTGTGTTTTGTTTTTGTTTACTTTGTTTTGTTGTTTGTTTGTTTGTTTCCTTTGTGGTTCCAGTCAGCTCCTGACTTCACCTTCTAGATGTTCTTTCCCTCAAGACTGGGACTGAGTGAGGGCCAGGACCAGTCAGATCTTCAGGGCTCTGGTCTTCGAAATAACAGGTTTTATGTCAACCTGACACATGTAAAGTACTTTTGAAAGACAAGGCCTCAGTTGAAAATACCACCACCAGATTGGCCTGTAGGCAAACCTGTGGGGCGTTTTCTTGATCAGTGATTGATGTGGAAGGGTTCAGACCACTGCCTGCAGTCCAGTCCCTAGGCTAGGAGTCCTGGGTGATATATGAGAGCAGGTTGAACAAGCCATGAGGAACAAGCCAGTAAGCAGCACTCCTCTGTGGTCTCTGTGCAAGTTCCTGGATTTTATTTATGACACTTTCAACTTGGAGCTAATAATTACACCAGTTTCACATGGACAGCTAAAATGCATTGTTCCCTATCAGCGTTGAGAGAAAGTAAGTGTTGAATCCTAGCAAAATGCTCCCTAGGTCACTTTAGTTTAGCCTTGGACAGATGACAGAATTCAGGGCTCCCTGGTCTAGAGCTCCAAGAGACTGGGCTGCCTCTGACTTCTCGGACTGAGTTACTTTCCACCAAGGTCTTTTTTGATGCAGTGGGGGTAGTTAGAAGACGGAGTCTGATCTATGGCCATTTGTCTCTAACATTTGTGTTATGTACTAAGTGCTCAAATACCAATATGGAGACAGTACAGAGGAGAGGGAGGCACAGGCCAGGCATCACAGTCCTGTGTGTCTCAACCTCACCCTGCACTGAACAGTCACAGAGAGTCACTTACTGTCCATCTGGAGTTGCACATGTGCTAATTCTGTTTTCATATCTGTACTTAGAGTCCGTAGGGTGTATAATCCAGTGTCCTTCCAGGTGACATTGTGGAGCAGCAGGGATCCATTGCTGTACACTGTCTCTCCACCATTGTGTGCAGGGCCCAGCACACTTGAATTCATGGTTATTATGTGTCTTGCCACCTCAAAGTTGTTGGACACAATCATCCCCTTATACCAGAAAAGGGATCGAAGATTTTCTGGGAGATTGTGAACAAGTAGAAGAACACTTCCCCCCTCGGGAATGATGGGGGGCACAGATTCAATAGTGGGTTGGGCAGATGTGGAAAGGGGCCCACAGCTCCAAAGGAAAGCTAGAAGGGAAGAGAGAAATCCATCAATATTAAGAATTTTGTATTTTGGTAAGATGAAACCCTCTATTCTGAACAGGTTTGTTCTCTGCTCACTCTATCGGTGTGGGTGAGCATCTCCTAATCTGTATCCCTGAATTAGCATGACAACTAGCTCATTGCTGTCAGATCTCAGCTCACATTTACAGTAGATTGGTGTTGGTGTGAGGTCTGCTTGACCTCTTCTCTTACAGACCCTGTGTCTTCACTCTGACTCTTTTTGTTGTTGTTCTGTTCCTTTTGTGGTTCCACTCAACACCTCACTTCACTTTCTAGCTTTCTTTAATGATCTGTCTTCCACTAGGACAGAGGCATCAGAAGAACCATGATTTGTATTATATTAAAAAATGATGCCTAGAAAAAAACTCAGAAACTTGTGGAGCATAAATGAATGAATGAATGAATGAATGAATAAATGATGTTGCAAAACCCTTGTATATCCATGGACTTAGTTAAGAAATCCATAGGTTTAGGTATACAGAATTGAGTCATTATATTAGCTTTAATTTTTTACACTTATTTGCAGATTATATTTATATGTGACTATGAGTTCATGAGCATGCCTCAGTGTGGATGGGTAGATATAGGACACAGTACTGAGGCAGAGGTCAGAGGACTTGTGTTCATTAGTCTCACATTAGTCTCAGCTTGTCAGACAATAAAGCAAATATCTATATCCATTGAACCATGTCATTGATAATAACGCCTTGATTTTTTGTTGTTGTTGTTGTTTGGGATGTCAAGGTGAGATCATTAGCCTTTAGAATATTGTGGTCATGGTGACTAACTTTGGGAAAGAATAATGTCTCCTCCATCCTTATTTTCCAATATTGATTGTTTCCTGATGCTGAGCCTCTGACCCACCCTGTGTCTTCTCCCCTACAAACAGAGACTCCTCTTGGGTCCTTGTACCACTCAGGAGATTCCAGAGAGTAAATGAGTCCTCTCCTCTCACACACTGTTAAATCACATTCTCCTCACCTGGAAGCAGGAGTTCCTAAGAATCAGTGACCCTATGCAGAGGAGTACAGGGGGAAAACTATGGCCTCTGTGGCCTGATCTGTCCTCTTCCTGTGGCATACCTATTCCAGCACAGTATCCAAGTTCTTTTGCCCTTCCCCTCTCTGAGCTGAGCTTCCTCCCAGGCAGGAGCACCTCCCAGATTCCCAGGAGCTGTGGGTGGTTCTCTGTTCAAAACACTGCTCTGTCCCTCCCCGTCAGTGCTGCTCCATGTCCCACTCCACTTCTCTCTTTATGTTTTAGTTGTCCATAACACTGAGTAATCATCAAGGCTAATGAGCATCCCTATTATCAAGAAAGTAGCAGATGACCCTGGGGCTGCCCTCTACTGTGTCCTGGCCTTGGTCTCTAAGCACCCAAAAGGGAAAGTCTGTACAACTGTGTGGCACAGAAACCTAGCTGGTCACCCAGTCATCTTTCCTGTGTTTTCAGTGCTCTGCAAACATGGAATTTGCTCTCAGCAGGAAGGTGATGGAGATTTCTATGGGGCTTCAAAGGGACCAGCTGAGTGATACATGGGGAAGGGGACAGATCCTTCTTACTGAAGTCATCAGTCAGGATTCAGACCTAGGACAAAGGCCCAGGAGCAGATGTGTCAGGAGTCTTACATGCTGGGTGTGTAGAAGGAGGTGACCTAAGTCCTGGAAGGAAACTATGGGCTCTTTTGTCTCATGCAAGATTTCAAGACCAGGCTCCTACTTCTTCTGTTTGCTGAGCTGTGTAATGGGTAGGTCTGCCTATGTGCTCCCTGGTTTTTCTAAGATGCCTTGGACCTCTATCTAGTTGATTCCCCTTGGGTAGCCTATATTTCACAAAGGAAATACAGAAAAGGAAAAAATGGAACATGATCCCCTGGCAGTGTAGCAGACACATAAAGCAGCCAGTAGGCCTAAAAATGGTCTGTTTGTGATTTCAAAGTTGGCAAAAATATGGGATGGGGCCAGTCTTCTAGGTTAAGTTGTTGGTTCATGCAAATAGCTTTCTTAGTGTTGATGCTGTGTCCTGATGCTGTCCCTGGTGATCCCTGGGAGAACTACGGCTCATGATCTGGCAAGCTGTCAGATCAGCATAGCCTGTAGCCATTTGCCTACAAAAAAGAATTCCTTGAGCTGAACCCCAAAGGACAAGCACTTGTCAGGAGGACTTATGTCCTCTGTCCCTCTCCTTGATGACCATAGATGACCATAACCTTCCTGTGAAGTCTTAAAAGGCCATCAACACATAGAGTTAGTTGCCTGTGCACATATCCAGCTGAGATCTCCCTGATGAGTCTCTGGAGATGTCCAGGGGACTTAGACTAACCTTATCTATAATGACAGTACATAGCTGACTCAACATACCACAAGACTAGTAAGCACCATTTTCAACCATCAGGAAGTCAAAATACAACTTTTGTAAAATGATTCTCAGCGCCATCAGAACTTGAGAATGGGACAGAGGTCTGGAGAGTAAGGTTTCTTGATACTCACATCTCTGTAGAGATCCTGTGTTTTTCTCAACAAGGTCCAATGTTGATTCCCTAATGGTCTTTCTTGAGGGTACACTCCTGGTAAGAACCCCAAGAGTCTAGACAGAGGCTGATAGCCTTGACTGAGTTACCCACTGTGTATCCACTATACGGAAAGTGAAATGAAATGAAGGATTCTGATCTATTGCCATTATTATACATTATGTGTGTCCTGCACTAAATGCTCAAATGTAAGAATGAGGACACAATGTAGAGGGGAAGTAGGCACAGGACACTCTCCTGTGTGTGTGTCCAGTCGAATGAACCCACCCAGTACTGAGAGTTTGCAGAAAATCACTTACAGTACACGTGGAGGTATATGGATGTTGTTGATATGATTTCTTTATGTCTGTTTATTGATCGTAGGGTATAAAATCCAGTGTCCTTCTGGGTGACATCTTGGAGATGCAGGGATCCATTTCTGTACACTGTCTCCCTACCACTGTATTCAGGCCCTTCCACTCTTAAATTAGTGTCCAGCGAATAAAGTACAATTCCAAGGTTCATATTTGTCACCCCTTTGTACCAGACAAAGGCTTCAAGATTCTCTGGCAGATTGCGGACAAGGAGAAGGACATTTTCTCCTTCAACCACATCAGGTGGCACTAATTCAATAATGACTTGGACAGTGGTGGGTAGGTGCCAACAGGTTAAAAGGGAGGCTAAAATGGAAGAGAGAAAATCAATCAATATTAAGCAGGTAAGATCATCACTCAGCCTAGGTGATTGGGTAGGGGTGTGCCCACCCTCTTTGGTAGACATGAGCAACATGACCTTCATTCCTCAGAGCCTCTGACTAGAATTCCTCTGTAAGGAATTCTATGATCAGGTATCTGCCTGGATTACCACTTAGTGTCTCCCTATTTGGTATGAGGAATCCTCTCTGGCCTCCTTCTCTAGAGAGTCTCCCCTTTTGACTTTTTTCTCTGTTTGCTTTGTGGTACCAATCAGTCCTTGGTATCATTTTCCATCTATGCTGATGTCAGATCCACTAGAACCAGGTCTTTGTGAGGACAGGGATTAGTCTGACTGTTTCTGAGGGTTATTTTCTAGGAAAAGGCTCAGACACCAGTGGATAATAGAAAGAAGGAGGAAAGGAAGGATGGAAGGAAGGAAGAAAAAAGGAAGGGATGGAGGGAGGGAAGAAGAGAGGGAGGAAGGTATGGACAGGAAAATGTGTCCACATGGGTTTATGTACATAGCTCCTTGGTTTGGAGGTAACAAAAACAATTATAGACATGTGTGATTTAAATGTTTATACATTTCCTTGTGTATTGTATGTGTGTATTTGTGAAGGCGGGTGTTTCAGTGTATGTCTGTGCACACTCACGCTGCAAAAGATTTTGTAAGGCGAAAAAAGGCCAGCAGGAGTCTGTTTTCTCCATTTATTATGTGGGAGCTGAAGACTGAATGCAGATTGTCACGTCCCTACACACTGAGCTGTCTCACTGGCCCACCCCTGCTTGATTTCTATTTGGAGAGTCACTGTGTCATGGTAGGGAACATTAGACTCCAGACCATGGCAGCTGATGTGATTGGTTTGAATAGGAAGCAGTTAAGGCTTTTCCCTTCCATTTATCACCTCCTGTCCACCACCAGCTATAAGCAGCTGAGCTTCTCTCCCTCCCTGTACTTTGTGTTCTATGACTGCAAACAGACACATCGATTCTCCTCTCAGACTCCTGTCCTCTTTAGGAGACTACAGGTATCCTCTAAGTTCCCAGAGATCTGGTATCCTTACCTGTGACCAGTAGCCCCTGCCAAGAGATACAGCCCTTACAGGGAAGCACAGAGGACAACTCCATCTCTCTTCTCACTGTGCCTTTTTCCCTCTGAGGAGAAGAGCTTCAGTTCCAATACAGCTCCAGCCTCTGCTGTCCTTCCTTCCTCTGAGCTGAGTGTCCTTCCAGGTAGGAGGAGCACTTCCCAAAACCCAGTGGGCTGTGGGTTGTAGGATCTGTGTCCAACACACTGCTCTGTCCTTTCCACTCCCAGTGCTGTTCCACGTCCCTCTCAACTTTTCTCTCTTTATGTTTCACCTCCAAGCAACACATTGAACAACAAGGCTGATAAACAGTCCCATGCCCTCAGAGAACAATGGATCATCTAAGGGCTGACCTATGCTGTGTCCTGTCCTTGGGTCTGTCCGCACCAAAGAAGGAACCTCCAACCAGCCTATGTGTCCTTCTGACAAAGAGACCCAGCTGAGTACCCAGCGTGCACTGTGTTCTCAGTGCTCTGGGAAGGTGGGATTTACTTTCAGCAGGAAAGTGACAGAGATGTCTCTGAGGGATGGAAACAGACCAACTGAGTGATTACTAGGGATGAAGATCAGTCCTTTGCCACTAATGTCACTAGACAAATTCTTGATCCAGGAGAAGTTTATGAGGTGTTTTATGTCCTCAGTGTTGAGGAAGATGCAACGTTTGTGTCTTTGAAAGGACTGTGGCCTCCCTCTTTCTATGGAGGGTTTCAAGGCAAACTTCAGCGTTATGTGTTGGCTGAGTTGTGTATTGGATAAATCCATATCCTCTCTGATCTTCCTGAGTCACCTTTCCCATTTGTCTAGGTGATTCTCCAGTGGGAATTCTGTCTTCCCATATGAAGATGTCAGGAGGGAGGGGAGATCAGCTTCCTCGTGTAGAAAGGTGTGTTCAGACATAGGTAGTATCCAGTAGGTGAGAGCAGGGTTGTGGGACAGAGCTTTATGTTAGTAGGGGCAGAGATGGAAATCAGTCTGCTTGGCAAGGTCATGGCTCAGGGAGACAATTTTTTAAAGGTTGAGCATATGGCTTGTTATCACTCCCTGAAGATCTATGTTAGAAAGGAAATCTCATGTCTAGGGCTACAGCAGAGATGATAAAAAAGTCAACTGTGAACTTCTCTGATACCCTCAGCATAGGTGGGATGCAGGGCCTGTTATACTGATCACTGTGCTCATTAGCACTCCTAATTCCATCTAGTGTGGGGTAGTTCTAGACAGGATTTAAGATTTTTCCTGGGAAGCCCTGGACTAAAGTCAAAACAATGTGTAGCCAGAGGATAGGTATCCTTGGGAGGACTTTTGTGCTCAGAAAATTTCAGAGGAAATTTCTAGGACATTTTTCTTGATACTCAAAGGAAAGGACACTAATTTATGGTTGGCACATTCACTTTCTGGTTCATCTCTAGGGTCTAAGTCTTTCCATCTCTTTGCATATAGAGGGGTGAGAGGGTCCAATTTTGAGTACAGAGAAAATTGATTCAAATGAATATGTCATCTTCTCTTCCTTGTACACCATTCTAGGTTTTTCCTCTTGCTATGATAACATCCTGAGTAAAAGCAGCTTAGGAGGGAGCAAAGGATCCAGTTTTCTTCTGGGGCTATGTCATATTGTAGCGCTGAAGGAAGTCAAGGCAGAAAACATGCTGCTTGCTGGCTCATTCACTGACTTCCTCTATTGCTAACCCTGAGCTAGCTTTCTTGTAAAACCAAGAGATGGTCCTTGGTTGTACAAGAAAGCTAGCATGGGACTGGACTAGGTCCTCTCCACGTTCTGTAGCTTGATCTGCTTGGGGGCCCCCTGGCGGTAGGATCAGAATCTATCCCTGGTGCATGAGCAGGCTTTTTGGAGTCCACTACCTATGATGGGGCACTTCATGCAGCCTTGAGGCAGGAGGAAGGGCTTGGACTTTCCTCTTTGGGATGTGCCTCCCCATGAGAAGCCTTTCCTTCTTGTTAGCGGGGAGTAGGGAGTGGGTTAGGAGCGGGAGGCTGGGGGTGGGAGGAGGGAAGAGGGGGATCTGTGATTGGTGTGTAAAATGAATAAAAAATTTTTCTTAATAAAAAAAAAAAGAAAAAAATCCCTCACAGACATGTCCACAGCCTGACCTGATAAAGACAGTTACTCAGTTTAGATTCTGGTTTCAACCCACGTGACATTGGGCTGAGTCAAGGTGACAGTTAAGTCTAACTAGGACACTGTTTCAAACTGCTAAGTCCTCCTCCTCCATGGGAAGACTCCATAGGAAGTGAGTGTCCCTCTTTGTTTGCCACGGTCATGGCATGTGCTGGTGTCCACTCAGAGCCAGGGAACAGCTCAAGGACATCTACCCTGAGTGTCACTTTTCCCACTGCCCATTTCCTGAACTCAGGGACAATTGTGATGTCCACAACAGACACTGAGAAGAGCTAATGAAACATCATCATCAAAACATAAGTTTCATCCTGACTCATGATAGGCCTCCCAGGCACGTTCATCACCTGCCTCTGCTGGAATCAGAGCAGAAGCCAATTATCAGCTGACATGACCATTGTTCAAAGTTCCAGGTGTTCCTTCTGAGTCACAGAAGTCATGATAGCAATGGGGGTGGGACAGGAAGAAATGAGTTAGTGTCAGAAAGAAAAATCTATTTGACCTTAAGTAAAATATCTGCCTAGGAAGTTCCTCACACCTGGAAGGAGTTCACCCCTTCATATCTCAAGACCAATCAAGAGTCACCCAGGAGAAATCAGAGATTCAAGGAGAAGGGGATGAAATGGATCTGGAATCTCATAGGAGTAATGGGATTTGTTTCTGCCCCTGGTGACAAGCTGGGAATTAATTACTGTATCTACCCATGAACCAAATCTTCTCCCCAATGTTCAAGACTGGCATTTCAGTGATCCCCTCACCAAGACCTGTAATTTTCTTCAGTGTGGTCCTATTAATGCCAATTGCAGAGTTCTAGGCAAGGAAGATACAGGATTAGTAGTGATGTTTGGGATAAAGAGCCTATTGGAGGATTACTGGTGTTTCCCATTGATAAGCCAAGAGTATTAAGTGGGTAAATCAGTGGATGTATGGCAGGAGAGGTAGAGGTTTGCCCCTGGATTGAAATGAATATCTGAGGGGGATATTATTGAGACGTCCAGACCATATGGAGCAAACAGAATAAAACGGCATGTGATATCAGCAATGGGAGGGGAGAATTCTGATCTATAAAAGACAATATCATTTCTTTGAGTTGCACTATAACCTTAGATAAGTAGGTCCCAACCAGAGCTGGGGTGTGGATTAGTAGAAGACTACTTATGTAGTACTTATGTAGCATGCACAAGCCCTGATCAATCAGGAGCACAACACACAAAGCACCCCTACTATACAATCATGAGTGTATGGAGCTGAGTCTGAGATGTCCTCTGTCTCCATCATCCTAAGCCTTTCTAGGAAGAAGTCATTACACTCCATTGTACCTTGGGCCTTACTACATGTGCTTGGTCTAGGCCAGGGTGACTACATGTGCTTGGTCTAGGCCAGGGTGACTTGGCCCATGTAGGTATCTGTGTGTTGGGTTAGTGTCACAAACCAAAGAAGTACTGAATGTCCCAGCTCTGGCCCTCTGTATGTAGGCAATTGTAGCCATAAGGCAACAGAAATTACTCACAGGTAGCATGAAGTTTGAATGGGTCATGTAACAGTCATTTCCACATTACGCTGTCAGTGTGACACTGAATAAGTGACAGTTTACTTGCCCTCTGACAGCTTCAGCCTGTCACCTTCTGAGAAATTTTGACCATTTTATTTTTCCTCCACTGGTAGGTTGTAATGTAATGCTCAGGTTCTCACTTTAAGGCTATCATCACTAACCTCCATAGGGTTAGAATCGCCAGTTTTGGTATTGGCATCAGGTAGAAGTTCTGTGCAGGCAACAGACAGATGATGCCCTCCATAGGACCACTGATCTTTGCAAATGCCCCTTTCAACTAATGTTGATCTTTCTAACCTCTACCCCAATCCATGTCCTTACAGAACCAGGCAGAAGATGAATCACAGGCATATGTATGAGGACCTGAGTACTCAGAGATGTTGGGCTTCCTGAGCTCTCTGGGAGAAACCTTCTTTGTCATGTGTGAACTGACCTGCAAAGCTTTAAGGTACATACCTTATCTTCAGAACCCCATTGTCTATGCTGGTTCTCACAGGCCCACTGCCTGCCTTGCACCATGGGATGCTATGTCCCTCCAGTTGCACTGACATCCACTGGCTCAGTCTGGGCCAGAGCCATCCAAGGCTTTGCTCTCTAAGGATGTCCAATAGATAGAACATAAGACTCCCCGTTGACCTTCATTGAGAAGTACCCACAAAATCTCCCCAAGACTCGAAATGTGTACAGAAGCCTCATACTATAGAAAAGAAGCTGGCCTAGTATTCAGTTATCTAACCAAGCTGGAGCATGATTTGTGCCAAAGTTCCCATGTGTTTGATGGAAACTGACATGAGTCACAAGACCCAAAATGACCAAAAAAAAATATCCCAGAATAATGTAGGAATGTGAAGGGAATGGTTTAGGGACCCATGGAGTTGGCCTTTTCTACCTGCCTTCAGACGCCTGCATCCTAGGTTTTTCAGATTAGAGTCCATGGCTCCTCAGGCACTGTATGCTTTTTAGTTCATGAGAAACTGAACCACTCCCTCAGTTTCACTTTGTGTTTTATTCAACCCACTTTGTGTTTCTCTGTGCTATCACAGAAGTCAATGAAACATGCAGTGTCACAAAATAAATGGTCTTAGACATTAATCTTGTGTATCTGTATAGCTTGAAGATGTCATCGTATGCTGGTAACTACAACTGTATTGATCCTGGCAATTGCCATTGTACTCTGTTTCTAATAGAGGTACAAAACATCTGATTGCCCTCAATAAAATTGTCACAGCTTCAGTCTTGCTGTGGCCCCTTCAACCTGAGTCAGATTAATTTCTCACCAGCCATGTCAGATAGCCTTGGCCCAGTAAGTAAGTATGGGTGCTTACAAGTGGCACATTGAACAGGAACCTGGAATACG